AACGTAGAAGTAGAGGATTAATAGGAATAGGAACCTGAATTTTAAAATGCATAGATGAAGAAGATTAAGAAAAGTAAGAATTTGAAGTTTAAAATACATAGAAGAAAAGGAAAAGGAGAGTAGTAAGAAGAAGGAGTATAGAAGAAGAAGAAGACGATGAAGAAGAAGAAGAAGAAGAATAGTTTAAAATCCATAAATGAAGCAGAGATCAAACGAATAAATGAAATTACCAAATAATTTGTCTTTATTACAGACTGTATTTTTACATTATGGTACTATGATATAAAACATGAATAAGCAATTATGTTGTAATTATGATACATTCTGATTTCCCTGAAAATAACCTAAGAAGGAGAGAACACTGTTGCAGTAAGAGAAGAATTTGTCTATTTTTGCTAAGCAAGTTTGTAAGGCCCAAGAAAAGCGTCTCCAGATTTGATGTCCCGTCTGTGCGAGGTGCCCATGGATTTTCTGGGTGCCAGTGAGTCCCCTGTGAGCAGGGAGTGCTGAGCCCCAGCGGCAGCGGGAGAGTTCCCGGCTGGGCCGGCAGGGCAGGGCTGGCCCTGCTCTCTGCAGGCAAACGAAAGGCGCCCGTTGAGGCCGGCTGAGAGAGAAGTGTGCTGGGAAGCCTTTGCAGCAGGGCTGGGCAGCCCAATGCCCACCTTGTCCCCAGCCCAGAGCCCTGAGTGCCACGTCCAGCCCTTCCTTGGGCACCTCCAGGGATGGGCACTGCAAAGCTCCCTGGGCAGCCCCTGCCAAGGCCTGAGCTCCCTTTCCATGGGCAAATTCCTGCTGCTGTCCACCCTGAGCCTCCCCTGGCCCAGCCTGAGGCCGTTTCCCCTTGTCCTGTTGCTGTTCTCTGGGAGCAGGACCCCACCCGCACCTGCCAGCCCCTCCTGGCAGGGGGTACAGAAGGATTGTTCCTTCCTTAGGCCCTCTCCTCCTCCTCCTCCTCCTCCTCTCTGCTTTCCACAAGCGAAGAAGAATCACTGAAGGGTGACAAATGCCACAGGAGAGTATTTGGACTGGATGTTCACCCATTTCTTGTGTCCCCAGGAACAACCCAGTGTCTCCTCCCTCCCTTGCCCAATATCCAAGAGCAGAGAGTCCCTAGGCCAGCGTTCCTCTCTGTGGGAGCAGCAGGTGAAAGTTTGGGCACTTCTGCAGCCCTGAGAGAGGGGAAGGCAGCAATTCTCCTTTCTTTCTTTCATTCTTTTCCACACCAAAGGAGACTCCTGCAATGGGAAAAGGAATTGTTCTTGGTGGAGCTGCCCTGCGAGGCTCCAGCCCACAGGAGAGGCCTGGGGGACATCAGGTGTGGTCCCAGCTGCAGGTTGGCACTTCAAAGCAGTGCCAGGAGTGGGAAAGTTGGGGAGAAAACAGATTATCCAGAACCACACTTGATCTGTCTCCTCTCCCTCAGCGCACTTGGAGGAGGTTCTGGATAAATGATGCACGGCAAGGCGATGAAATCAGGAGTAACTCTGATTTTACTCCTGGCGTGCTGCCGTGCAGCCTCGGGAACCAGAGGTGCTCTTGTGCTCGTCTGAAGCGGGCGAGTCCTGCGGGAGTTCCACAGCGATCCTGAAGCCTTGGACCCAGCTGTTGATTTTTAATTGATGCTGCTCCGTTTGGCTTCAAGGTTTCCAAAATAAGGCGGACCACCATAAACAAATTGAAAAGTTCAAAATGAGAAGAATAACAAGTAACAAAACTGTGTAAGTTTTTTCCAGCCTAGTTTTTGTCTCAGTCTCTGGGATCCCACCCCTGGCAGGGGATATAAAGTTGCTCTTGGCTGGGACCCGAGTGAGGAGCTCAGCTGTGTGACACATTGTCGCTGGGCTTTTTTCTCTTTGGCTGAATCCTCTTTCCATGGTCAGCCGGGCTTTGGGGAGGAGCTGTTTGTGTCCTTGACAAAGGAAGATGGGCAGAAGGGAGGAGGCTCCACGGTGCTGAGGCTGTGGGGAGGACTTGAAAGGTGGGTGGCACTGAGGGGATGCTGCTGGGGATGCTCCGGTGAGGGTGGAGGATCAGGGGGGACAGGGCAGCTGCAGGTCTGACTGCCTCTTCCACTCTTATCCTTGGCTTTAGGAGATCAGAAATCATTTGGATCTGAAGCAGGAGCTGGAGGAAGAACCTTCTGGAGGACTCCTTAGCCTTTTGTGCGGGCCAGCAGCAGGGTCTGTCACGGTAAGGGAAATGAATTCCAGCGGGACATTGTTCTCCACAGCCTTTCTTCCAGCAGCAAGTGCCCTTGCAGCTCTCTTTTGCTCCAGCATGCTCTGTCCCTCTCTCCAGCCTTCCCTCCTGGACCAACTCACTAAATTTCCTCTCTTCCAGCATGCTTTAGCTTGGCTTTGCAAAAAACATCCTTAGTGCCCTCACTGTGAGGTGGAATGGAAAAGTGAATTTTTCCAAAGGGCTGGAGGCACTGCTCGCTTTCACTCTCTCCCCAGTTTGGAACTTTAATTCATTCTGCTTTAGAAAACTTCAAGAAATTGTGAGATTATTGGTGGGGGAGTGGGGTGTGTGGAGTGTGGAATTGCTTTAAAAAACACTTTCCTTTTCATTGGGAACTGTTGTACCACTCTGGAGCCTGGCAGAGAACGTTGGTGCCTTTGTTAGAGGCAGAGCAGTTTAACTCCTCTGCACACTCACAGCCACTTCCAGCCATTATTGCTCAGGCAGTGACAAAAGGAAGGACAAAGCCTGACACTGGACTGCTACCCAACACAAAGGCTAAGAAAAGACTTTTGCAAGGAAATCAGTCCATCCCTGGCAGAGCATTGAGCACTTTGTGTTTGTGCACCTAGAGCACAACAGCTAAAAGTGAAAATCAAATAACCCTCAAAACTCTGCAGTTCCCAGGGCCGGGCTGTGAGAATTCCTGACATTGTCCTTGGGCAACTCAGGAGCCATGAGATAGAGTTAAATTGGATTTTGTAGCGAGTTAAGGCAGTGTGATCCTGTCTCAGGAGCTCCAGGCACCATCCCTGGTGTATCACAGTTCTGTGAACATCTTGCCTGCAATATTCTCCCTCAATGTCACAGTTCAGCTCCCGTTTGCCTTTGTGCAGTGAATTAAACCCAGGGGTTGTGATTCTTGGGGAGAAGGCAGCAGCACTTGCTGCTGTCCGTGGTATCTTTAATTTATGATCTCTCTCCTGGGTAAGGACTGGCTCCTCCATCAGCACCTCCCTTAAAGGTCACGTTCTGGGCTGCATTTTTCTCTCTGACATTTGTCCACATGCAGCACATAGGGAGAAATTAGGTTTTGCAGATGTGACCTATGATAACACTTCTGAAACAAATCAAAACTAATCTGCCACAAAATATTGCTGAGGAACGGCTGGAAATGTCAGTGAGATGAACAGTTCTCTTTTATTGAATGTGCTGCTCTGCTGAAGTGTCCTCCTAGCAATTGTCAGGGGATAAATTCTGTCCTGAAATCTGCCTTTGCCATTTACTGCTGAGAATGTTTGCGCTCTTAAAAGCTCCTAGACTCACCACTAAATATAAATATATTTTTATATTTATATAAATATATTATTTAATTTTTTATTATTTAAATATTAAATATATTTAATATTTAAAAATATTAAATAGATTTAATAATATATTATTGAATATATTTAATAATATATTATTAAATATATTTAATATTATTAAATATTAAATGTATTTAATAATATATTATTGGATATATTTAATAATATATTATTAAATATATTTAATAAATATATTTCAGACTGAAATATATTTATTAAATATGAAAAGCAGCTGAACAATAACATTTTTATTTCTGTATATTTACTTGTTATGTATTTATTCATTATATAGTTATTCAGTGCTTAGTTCTGTCTTATATATTTTTAATTTGTTTATTATATATATATTTCTTTATATTTGTTTAGAAATAAATGCATTATATAACATAGAAAATATATAAAAATATCTATTTTAGAGCATTTGTATGACACTTTTAATCCTGTCCTGTGTAGTTGTGCAAAGGACCTGATGAGACCTACTCAAGGCAGGATTATTTCATATCTGTGGGTGCTTAAGAGATGAAATCTTGACTCTGCTGGAACGAGTGGGGACAATTCCCAGTGGATTCTTTGTCTGTACTTAAACCAGGTGTGACCCACGTGTCCATCCAGTGGCACTGCTGGCACAGCACCGTGTCCCAGAGCCAAGGAGCACCTTCCTGACACAAACTGGGTTAACATGACCCCAAACCTGCAGCAGTGGGGTGGAATTGCTCTGTCCTTGCTGATTTTGCCAGGTCAGTGGTGCTCCAGGGCCATGGCTGAGCGGGTGCTGGTGATCGGCAGCGGAGGCAGGGAACACGCCCTGGCCTGGAAGTTGGCCCAGTCCCCGCAGGTCAAACACGTGTTTGTGGCTCCAGGAAATGCAGGGACAGCTGACAACGGAAAAATCTCCAATTCAGGTAAAAAGGGGGGAATAAAATCCCACTCCTTGCTGTCAGCACCGCAGCAACTGAGACAAACCAACAGGGGAGGTACCGGTGGCTCATCTTTTACTGGTGCCACAAATGACTGGAGGCACAGATTTCTTCTTCATTTTGTGTTTTGTTCCTGAATTTCAGAGCTGCCTCCTAAAACACCCTGCTCTGTTTAGTTTTAGCCTTGCTGCTTAAGCTAGTGAGGCTTATATGAGACTGTATTTCTACACCTCATCTCTTCCACTTTTGTGCTTGAATTCAGTGACCAATTCCAGTGAAACTTAACCCAGGAACAGAGGGCTCAAAGTTCTTCATTCTGAATAGAAACACCTCTGTGTCTGCCCAGGCTGCTCAGAGAAATTTAGCTGCATCAACCAATGCTTTCAGTAAATCTTTACTCAGCTGTTGAAATTGAGTTTCTTCCTGAACCTTAAGTTTTATTTTTCAAAGTTGCTATGGTTGTTATAAGCAGCTTTTAAAATGCATCTTGATTGCACATGGCAAATAAATTAGATTCAATCAGTTAGCAAATGTGTATTAAAACCAGTAGTGCAAACTGGAGTTGTTCCCAGTTCCTTTTGGACTCTGCTGTTATTACATTGATATTTCACTTTGCCCTTCATGGGCTGTTTCATTATTTTAATCACCCTTTTAGGGGGATGGGAAAAAGACATTCTCTTCTTCTGTCTCTTACTCAGGCTTCACAGTCACCAGTTAATTCTTTTTCCTTTTCAGCTGTATTAGTGAGCAATCACACTATTGTTACCCAGTTCTGCAAAGATCATAACATTGGGCTTGTGTTAGCTGGCCCAGAAGCTCTTTTGGCAGCTGGTAAGTTCATAAAATATTTAAATAAACCTAAGTTGACAGAAAAATATCTTGATGATATGATAATATTATAATATAATAAATGAACATCATAGAATAATATCAAATCATATCATTAGGTCGACAGAAAAAAACTAGCACCTTGAATTCTGCTTTAAAATGGGGGGGTAACTGTGGGAGTGCTCAGTAACCCCAAGAGCTGAAGAGGCTCGGAAGGACAGGCTGAGGAGGGCCAGGGGATGTTCAGAACCTCCTTTGGAGGGTGAATAAATGATCTGAGACAAAGGAAAGCGTAACTGCTGGGAATTTCCTTCTGCCACACGGGCTCCATGTCCCCAGAGAGCCCCCTGGGTGCTGTTTCTGTGGCTCAGGGATTGTGGATGACCTGAGGGCAGCAGGAGTTCGGTGCTTTGGGCCCTGTGCCAGGGCAGCCCAGCTGGCCTCCAGCAGCAGCTCCAGCAAAGCCTTCCTGGAGCGGCACGGGATCCCCACGGCGCGCTGGAAAGCCTTCAGCAACCCCCAGGAGGCCTGCAGGTTCATCACCAGGTAAATGTGCTGCCATGGGGCTCCTCTGCACTCACCTGGGCCCGTGGCCTTCACTGGGGGCTTGGGAACCCCTCAGCTCTCCTTCTTCCCCAGCAGGAGCTGAATTCATGAGCTCTGCAATTAGAGACGGGTGATGGAGGGGCAGGAGTGGAGCTGCTGGAGCCTCTCTGCTCTGGAGCCAGCCTGGGAGAGCTGGGGGTGCTCAGCTGGGCAGGAGAAGCTCCAGGGAGAGCTCAGAGCCCCTTGCAGGGCCTGAAGGGGCTCCAGGAGAGCTGGAGAGGGACTGGGGCCAAGGGCTGCAGGGCCAGGAGCCAGGGAATGGCTTCAGAGTAGGATTTGATGGGATCTTGGGCAGGAATTGTTCCCTGGCAGGGTGGGCAGGGGCTGGGATGGAATTGCCAGAGCAGCTGGGGCTGCCCCTGGATCCCTGGCAGTGCCCAAGGCCAGGCTGGACATTGGGAGCTCCTGGGACAGTGGGAGGTGGCCCTGCCATGGCTGGGGCGCTCTGGGTGGGCTCTGAGGTCCTTCCCAACCCAACTTTTTTATGATTCCACAATTCTGGGAACTGCAGCAGGTTGATTTTTCTCTTCTCAGGCCCCAGCTTTTCTTCTTTTCCATCTGCTCCTTCAGTACACTCAATAAGCCATTTATAAGACAAAAAATTGTAATGGAGAAAAGTATTTCAACAAATCTTTCTCTTAGTTAAGGCTAAGAATCATTTCTTGCCAGACAGATACCAGCAAAATGCTCTCTGAGGATGATTTGAAATGTTCTGGCCAAATATCCATAACTGAAGAACAACAGTTTCATTTCTTTGCCTGTGGGTTTTGTTCCCAGACTCCTTGTCCTTGCTGGCAAGTGCTCCATGTGGGATAAACTCATGGAACCTGTGGGTTTGTTTTTTTTTTAACAAAACCAACCTTTTCACTGGTTTTGCTCTGTAAGAACTCCCAGTTGATGTTGTTGCCACACAGAGACAAGGCCAACCCCTTCTCTGTCAGCAAGGGCAAGGCTCCAAAGGGAAAACTGTCCCAGGTGTGCACGGTGAGATGGGGAGAAAGGCAGCCTGGTGGGAGCCTGGTGGTACAAACTGCGGGGCTGAGGTTTAACCTGATAGAAATCTCAGTGTGGAAAGGTGTTCTTTTGGGAAACAGGAAATTTGTGTGCAAAACCAGCCCTCCAAAACCCTTTTATTTGGCTGTTCACAAGCCAGAGAGTGACTGGGTAAGGTTAAAACACATTAATTAACAGGGTGATGCTTTTTTTTTCTTTTTAATTTCTGGATTTAGTTTGTATTTCAGAGTAAGTGGAGAAATTCTGGAGCTACAGTGGGACTGTGGGGAGCATCCAGGAGCAATGTGGTGATTTCCCTGGAGTCCCTGGATGCAGCAGGGATGTCTGACCCCTGCTCTGCTCCCCTTACAGCACAGACTTCCCTGCACGGGTGGTGCGGGCACGGCGTCCAGCGGCCAGGAAAGAAGTGACCATTGCAGCCAGCAAGGAGGAGGCCTGCAGAGCTGTCCAGGAGATTATGCAGGTGGATAAATGCTTAATTCACCCCTGCCAGTCCAAGTCTTGGTGCTCTGTACTCTGGGAGTTTGTAATTCCAGATACAGGAGGCAAGTATTTTTGGGAGAAACTTGTTTGATCGATTCCATTTTTCCTGGGTCTCCTCAGATTCCTCCTGTGTGCCCCAGGCAGGGCTGGGAGCTTTTGTGACTGAACTTCTGCTCCAGCCTCCAGTCCCACTTCTCTGCCCCTCCAAATTGTAATTTTTGACTTGTCTCCCAGGCTTGATAAGGAGTATCCAGTGTTGCCTCCTTATATCCAAATGGAATTCCATTGGCTTTCTCCACTGGCATTCAAGCAAGCTGGCACTTCTCCTGTACATTGTTGTTTTTTTTGTTAAAAGAGCATGAAGAGAGGATTTAGGCAGTGGATTCATGTCTGCTCACTGGGGATTCCTTGTGGTTTTTTTCTTTTACAGGACAGAATGTTTGGAGAAATGGTTGTTATTGAAGAACTGCTTCAAGGGGAAGAACTTTCTGTAGGTGATTGATGGGGTGATGTTGTGCTTTTACTGTTTGGCATTATTGCTGTGCTTCTGCATAAACACCCAAGTTTATAATTTCAAATTTCAATTTTTTTTTTTGTTTTTTATTTGCACTTTGAGATGGGTATATATTGCATATATATAACATGCAATCTAAGCCCTGTGTCATGCTAACCAATGCATGTTGTCAGCAGATTTTTCTTTTACATTAACAATGACATAGCAATGACCCAAAACATGTTTTTATGTACTTTGCCTTGGTAATTTTTGTTACATTCCTAACTCTATGCTAATATAAAGTGCCTCTTTTAGGCTGTTCACATGACAGAGGCCAGGCATGTGTCCATGTGACTCAAAATCTGATTTATCAAAAGGGAATTGTAATGAGAGCCACCATTTCTCTTGGTAATTTAAACATGAGTAAGAAACAACAAACCCTTCATGTCAATGGGCTTGTAGCAGAATAAATGGATCCTATGGGATTTTGAGAAATTCTTTACTCAGAGGGTGGGCAGGGGCTGGGATGGAATTGCCAGAGCAGCTGGGGCTGCCCCTGGATCCCTGGCAGTGCCCAAGGCCAGGCTGGACATCGGGAGCTCCTGGGACAGTGGGAGGGGTGGCACTGGGTGGGATTTAATACCCCTTGCAGTCAGGACTTCTGCAATTTCTCCATTTCCCAGCAGAACCGTGGCTCAGCCTGTGCCCAGCAGCGCTGTCCCTTGGCTGTGGCTGTCGTGGCCGCTGTGGCCGCTGTCAGCGCTGTGCCCGTGTCTGTCCCGCAGTGCTCCTGTTTCACCGACGGTGTCACCGTGGCCTCCGTGCCCCCGGCTCAGCCCCACAAGCGGCTGCTGGAGGGGGAGCAGGGTCCCAGCACGGCGGGGATGGGAGCCTATTGCCCCGTGCCTCAGGTACAGCTCCTGCCCCAGCCCCTGCCCAGCACATCCTGCTGCCTTCTGGAGAGCATCCAACCTCAACAGCCCTTCCTTGGGGTTTAATTCTCTGCAGGAGCCTCTCTTTGACCTCTTCTGTTGTTCCTAAACTTTGTGTTTAAACTTTGTGTTTCCCACGTCTGAAATCCCTGCACAGTTCTGGGTGTCCAGGACCTCTGTGCCCTGCACATAACCTGGGGGGGCCTTGCTGGTTCCTAAAGCACTGCTCCAACCCATGATCAGTGTGGGTTTCTCCAAGCACAGAAACTCTGACTGTGCTCAGCCCAGGCTGCCAGTCCCAAACCTCCTTCAGAACCACCTCTGGAGGCAGAGGAGTGAAATTTCCACCCTTCAGACAGCAGCAGCCCAAGGGATGGAGCAGGGGCTGGGGTGGGACAGCAGCAAACAGCTCAGGAATCTCCTCATCCCCATCCTTCCAGCAGGGCCAGCAGATGCCATCACTGCCTCAGTGCCTTTGTTTGGTTGTCAGGTTCCAGAAGCTCTTCTAGATCAAATCAGGGGTGCAGTCCTCCAGCACGTCGTGGACAGCTTGAGACAAGAAGGAGCAGCCTATGTAGGTGAGTGAGCACCTGAAAACCGAGGTAAGCCCCTGTCCAGGTCACTTCCATTGTCAGAGGCTGCTCCTGAATTTGTTTAAAAAAACCAATTTTTTTTTGTTTAAAAATTATGGTGTTTGTTTAAAAAAACCCCAGCAGCAGCTCATTTTTCATGCAGTGTTAAGCCTCATTCACTCAGTTCACAGCTTTTTGTTTGGGAGAGAACTTTGGCCTTTTCTCCTTAAAACACCATGATTTTATGAAATATTTTTAAATAAAACAGATTGATTTGCAGTTCAGGGCAGAGCATATATTTCAGTCCTGTTCTACTGCTCCCTCTTAGACACAACAATGTCCATTTTCTCCAGATCCTTATCCAGAGGCTGTTTTGGAAAAGGCAGGTGGTGCCCAGAGGTGTCAGTGCCAAGGGCTGCTGTTGGCACTAAGAGATCTCAGACCTCTAAAGAGTTGGGGTCCCACCCACATCTTCAGTTTCTGCTTTTTGGGGCCTTTTTTACAATGCTGAGTAAGAGTGGAGTGGGCGTTGAGTAAGAATGGAGCTGGAGAACCTTTGCTTTGTGGGGTTTAAAATGTGGTGCCCTGTTCCTCAGGTGGCTGCTTGTCACTTTTATGGATGTTTGGGAATTATTTTGACTTGCACCTAAGTGCTTGCAGAACTCTCACTCCTAACGCCTTCTGATTTGCAGAAATGAGTCCCACACCCCAAAATGCTCTGTTTCATTTAAAGGAGCTCTTGAAAGAAAGAAAGAAAAGTTTAAGTTCATTTGCTTGGCTGTGCTCTTTGTGTCCAGGTGTGCTGCAAACAGGTTTGATGCTGACCAAAGAGGGGGTGAAGATTTTAAACTTTAAATGCCAGTTTGGGGACCCCCAGTGTCAGGTGAGTGAAACGCACTGGAAAATTAAAGATTCTCCATTCTTTCCCCTCTTACTTGTTGTAGTTTATTTCTAGGGGAAGATCTGGATGTGAACATCTTAGACAATGTCTGAGGTAACTGAAAATTTTGTCTGGTCAGCTCCTGTGAATTATTAGGTAAAGGATTTAAATTAAAACACAGTTCCTCAGATTTTGTTTTTCAGGATAGAAGCAGAGCAGGAGGGACCTAAATTCATATTCCTTCTACATAAGCTCACACCTTGTGTTTCTAAATTTATGAGTGGTACAAAAGATGCTGCAAATTACATGCTCACTCTGAGTTTCCAAATCTATTGGCTTGGCACACACAGATTTTATTCCATCAGCTGAATTTTCCCTAAGGTGAATTTCAGCAAGGCAGCAAAATAAAAAATAACTTCCATCACTCTGAAAACTTTCTACAGGTAATTCTTCCTCTGCTTAAAAATGATTTTTATGAAGTGATTCAAGCAACAATTGATGGCAAACTCTGCAGCTGCATGCCAGCCTGGTGGGAGGACAGAACTGCTGTGTGTGTGGTCATGGCCAGCCCAGGATACCCAGGAGACTCTGAAAAAGGCATGGAGGTCACAGGTAACTCTGGGAGCTTGCTCATTATTTAATTACTTCCTCACAGGGCTCTGGACAAAGTGAGAACTGGGATATTCTGCATTCATATCAATGAATATGAATGTTGTTCAATATGAACTTAGATATTAGAGATAGGTATTCAATATTCATATAGATATTATATATATATATTAGATATAGATGTTCAGTATTTGTTTGGATATTAGATATAGATATTCAATATCCATACAGATATTAGTTACAGATGTTCTATATTTGCATAGGTATCCAATATCTATATATATGTTAGATTAAAATATTCAATATTCATATGAATATTTGATATCAATATTCAATCTTCATACAGATATTAGAAATATATCTTCAATATCCATATAGATGTTCAATATAGATATTCAACATTTATACAGGCATTCAATATGCATTTAGCTGTCAATACCATTTGGATATTGGATATAAATATTTAATATTCATACAGGCATTCAATATTCATTTAGATTCCAATACCATTTGGATATTGGTTATAGGTATTCAATATTCATATTCATTTAGCTGTCAGTACCATTTGAATATTTTATATCTATATTCAATTTTCATATAGATATTAGAAATATATCTTCAATATCCATACAGGTGTTCAATATCGATATTCAACATTCATACAGGCATTCAATATTCACTTAAATTCCAATACCATTTGGATATTGGTTATAGGTATTCAGGATTCATAGAGGCATTCAATATTAATTTAGCTGTCAATACCATTTGGATATTGGATATTGACATTGAGGATTCATACAGGCATTCAATATTCATTTCCCCTGTTCCAGTGCTCCTGGTTCAGGCTCTCATGAAGATGTTTAAGATGTTTAAAAGCAGAGGGAACCATTGCAGAACCGTTTCCTTCCTGCTCTCCTGTCCTGCCAGTCCCACCCTCTCCCCTGTCAGCCCATCCCAGCTCCTCAGCCCCTGCCCAGGGCTCCCGAATTTTGGCAGCTCCCTGGGGACCCTCCATGGCCCAGGGACAAGGTCGTGCTCTGGTGCCTGTCCCTGGCAGGGTTTCTCACCCCCTGCTTGTTAATCACAAACAAATCAGTGAAACTAATGGAATTCAATCCATTCTTTTGTTATCTTTCACTTCAGAGTTTCATGGGGTTTATTTGTTTTTATTCTCTTTTCTCATTGAGTCACACATTTTCAGATGACGCTCCCAGGGATGCCCAGGGTGGGATTGTCTGGGTGTCCAGTGCAGGGCCAGGGCTTGGACTGGATGATCTTTGTGTGTCCTCCCAGCTCAGCATACTCCGTGATTCTCTGGTTTTAATGGCTTGACAAACTTTTTATTCTGCAGTATTCCTTAAAACAGGATTCAGAGGGGTTTGATTTCCACTGCAGCAGGGTCAGAGGGAACAATCCCTTGAGCCTGTAGCAAGGAGAAAACTGTGCTTGGTTCTCGTTTTCCCAGGTGATGGCAGCAGTTCCTCCTCTTCCCTTATCCTTCCCTCAAAACAGGAATCTAAAAAACCTCCAAACCTTGAACAGTTTTGCTTCCCTGTGTCAGACCAGCCTGTGTTTGTGGAGCAGCAGTTCCAGTGCTGCAGGGAATTGTGTGGGGTGGGCAGGGTGGAACAGTGGGGGAGTGCTGAGGTAACATCAGCACTGATGCTTTAATGTCAGGGAGATGGAGAATCCAGGCAGGAAATGGCTGTGGATTGTGATTTCCTGCAGGAAAGCCCTGCACAAATTCCCCACAGTTCCCAGAGAGAGCACAACTTTCCTGGGGCAGGGCAGGGATATGTCCTGGGGTGGCTCCTGGATCCCGTATTTCTGTTCCTGTGGGATTTCTTTCTTTACATTTGGGGTGTCCCAGATGTGGGCATGTAGGAGAGCCCAGAGGAGGCTCCAGGATGAGCAGAGGGATGGAGCAGCTCTGCTGGCAGGAAAGGCTGGCCCAGCTGCCATTGTTCAGCCTGGCCAGGAGAAGCTTTGGGCTGAGCTCAGGGTGGCCTTGCAGGGCCTGAAGGAGCCCCAGGAAAGCTGGAGAGAGACAATTGCCAAGGGCTGCAGGGCCAGGAGCCAGGGAATGGCTGCCAGTGGCAGAGGGCAGGGCTGGATCTTGGGATCTTGGGCAGGAATTGTTCCCTGGCAGGGTGGGCAGGGGCTGGGATGGAATTGCCAGAGCAGCTGGGGCTGCCCCTGGATCCCTGGCAGTGCCCAAGGCCAGGCTGGACATTGGGAGCTCCTGGGACAGTGGGAGGTGTTCCTGCCATGGCAGGGCTGGCACTGGGTGGGCTCTGAGGTCCCTCCAGCCCAAACCAGTCTGGAATTCCATGATGCTTTATTGGATGGCTCAGAAGGGGATCCCTGGGGCCAGTGCACTGGGACACCTTTCACTGATGATGCTGTTTCTCAAGAAAAAGCAAAGGTGAAAACTTGTCTTGTTCTCCCTTGACTGAATAAAGGACTTCAACTTTCATTGTTTTGTCCACAGGAAGTAATGGCTCTGGGAAAGGTCTGGAAAACACATCCTGGAAGGAGCAGCTGAACTGGGAAAGAGGCTCAGCCTGGAGCAAAGGAGGCTCAGGGGGCCCTTGTGGCTCTGCACAAGTCCCTGGCAGGAGGGGACAGCCGGGGGGGTCGGGCTCTGCTGCCCTGTCCCAAGGGAAAGGAGGAGAGGAAATGGCCTCAAATTGCACCAGGAGAGGGGCAGATTGGAGATTGGAAAAGAAAATTTCCCTCACAGAGTGGTCAGGCCTTGGGATGAGCTGCCCAGGGAGGTTTGGAGTCCCTGGGAGTGTCCCAGGGGAGTCTGGATGTGGCCCTTGGGGACAGGGTTTAGGGTGATGCTGTTGCTGGGGGGAACTGGATGGTCCTGAAGGGGTTTTCCAGTCTTGATTCTGAGATGGTCAACAGAGAGTGCAATTCAAAATCCTCAGAGAATTCCCTTTGTTTTTGCAGGGCTTTTGCAAGCCAAGGAGCTGGGGCTGCAGGTGTTCCACGGGGGCACGGCGCTGAAGGACGGCAGGGTGGTGACCAGCGGTGGCAGAGTCCTGTCCATCACTGCTGTCAGGCAGGACCTGATGGAAGCCCTGGGAGAAGCCAACAGGGGCTTGGCCACCATCCACTTCCAGGGGGCCACCTTCAGGAGGGACATCGGGCACCGGGGCCTGCGGCTGCTCCGGCAGCCCCTGTACGTGAGCACAGCCCTGGGACAGGGAGCCCAGCCCAGATGTTCCTTCCTGCCCCTCACATCTGGGCCAGCCCTGCTGCTGCCAGCACGTCCTTCCCTCCCCACAGGGCCCTGGTGTACAAGGACAGACACGTGGGGACTGGAACCAGGGATGTTTGGAGCCGTCTGCCACAAACATCGGCTGTGAGAGGCACCAGGGCAGGTAGGACTGGGAAGAATCTGGGAATTGCCTCAGTATGTTGGTTCTTTTCTCCCTGGGGGGGTGGGCAACGTGGTCATGGCATTGAAACTGAGCTTGGGAAACTGGGCTGGGATCAGCACAAAGAAGGAAAATTAATTTCTTCTCACTGCTCTTACAATTAATTAACAAATGCCTGCCTTGACGTGGAGGTGATTGTGCTTCTTAGGGGTGCAGAATGGAGAGGAATAGAATGGAAATAAAATAAAATAAAAAGAAAAGAAAAGAAAAGAAAAGAAAAGAAAAGAAAAGAAAAGAAAAGAAAAGAAAAGAAAAGAAAAGAAAAGAAAAGAAAAGAAAAGAAAAGAAAAGAAAAGAAAAGAAAAGAAAAGAAAAGAAAAGAAAAGAAAAGAAAAGAAAAGAAAAGAAAAGAAAAGAAAAGAAAAGAAAAGAAAAGAAAAGAAAAGAAAAGAAAAGAAAAGTTATAGAAAACCTGGAGCAAAGGAGGCTCAGGGGGCCCTTGTGGCTCTGCACAAGTCCCTGGCAGGAGGGGACAGCCAGGGGGGTCGGGCTCTGCTGCCAGGGAACAGGGACAGGAGGAGAGGGAACGGCCTCAGGCTGGGCCAGGGGAGGCTCAGGGTGGACAGCAGCAGGAATTTGCCCATGGAAAGGGAGCTCAGGCCTTGGCAGGGGCTGCCCAGGGAGCTTTGCAGTGCCCATCCCTGGAGGTGCCCAAGGAAGGGCTGGACGTGGCACTCAGGGCTCTGGGCTGGGGACAAGGTGGGCATCGGGCACAGCTGGGACTCCCTGGGCTGGGAGGGCTTTTCCAGCACCTGGGATCCTTTGATAATTTTCAGTTCTTTTCTTGGTGAGAGTTTTGGGTGTTTTTATTTCTCCTAAATCCAATCTGTGCTGTGTTTGTACTCGGCAGGAGGCCGCTCAGAAGGAGGAGGCTTTGCTGCTTTCTTTGACCTGAAGGCATCTGGTTACCATGATCCCATCCTGGTGTCCCAGACCAAGGGCCTTGGGCCCAAACTGCAGGTAATTGGCAGCTCCTCTGCAGCAAAGGTGGTGTCACCTGCCAGGGCTGTTCCAGTGCCACAGCCAGTCCCACCCTCTGCACCCTCCTGAGCTCTTCAAACACTCCTGAGTCCACCAGGGCACCAGGTGGGCACCGAACTTTGGACATTTGTGCAAGGCCTGGGCACGCTTAATTGAGGATGTGGTGAAATGATAATAACCCAAAATTTAACTGAAAACTTGAGGCAATAAAACCCAGAATTTCTGCTGTAAACTGGAGGGTCCTTTAGCTTTTAGGAGGATCTGTGTGGAGGAGGAGCACAGGGAGTTGCTGAAATGAGAACTGGCATTATTATCAACGTAATAAATTGTGTGTAGAGAGGGAGAACAGGTGCCTCTGTCAGGGGGAAAGGAAGGTTGGAGGAAATAAACATTAAAGAAGCCATGAATTAAAGAATTTTAATAAGCCAAGAACATCCAGGATAGGCTGAGTTAGAAATACATTTATGTAGTGAATTAAGATGAATTGAGCCTGGAATATATTTATGTATTGAATCAGGATAAGTTAACCTGGGCATTTATTTATATATTAAATCAGAAGGTTTTCAGCCATCAGGAGAGTGGAGATCTGAAGCTCCTTTCACTGTCAAGCACAGCAATGTCCCTTGTTTCAAATGGTTTCTGCTTCTAATGCCAGGGTAACAAACAGCAGGAGACTGAGCAGAGTCATCCCAAAGGTCTTTTGCAGTCTCACATCCTCAGACAGCTCTGAGCATGAAAAAGCGATCAGTGCTGGCTCTTGTGAGTCTTTCTTGCAACTGCTGGGCACAGAGACATTCCCAGCTGTGTTTCCAGACTGTTCCCAAGGTTCTTCCTTGGCCAAGGAAAGGTTGGCCTGCCCGGATTGCTGCTGGAGCAGTGGGAGGGAGGTGTCATGCAGCAAAGGCTGTGGGATGCCTGTTTCCATAGCACTCCTAAATCCAGGGAAATCAATCAGGAATCCAAGCCCAGACTTTGTTTGGGTGCTGCTCCCTCACCATTTGGAATCCAGTTGTGTTTATCCAATTTTCCCCTCACCCATCCCTCTGTCCTGGTCTTTTCTGCACAGGTGGAACTGTGTCAGTAAAAGGTACCTCCTTTGAAAATTCATCCACTGATGATCTGAAAGGTCTTTTGCACCCTAAATAATTCTCATTTTATAATTCTGTCTAACCTTTGTCCCATGGCAGCCCTGTGAGCTGAGCAGGATGCTCCAGGGTACCCCTGAGAGCTGGAAATGTTAGCATTTCATAGGAGGCCAGCCCAGGTTGGACACTGGGGTTTGGAGCAGCCTGGGACGGTGGGAAGTGTCCCTGCCCATGGAAGGGGATGGAACTTGGATGGGCTTTAAGGTCCTTCCCAACCCAAACCATTCCATGATTCCCTGGTGATATTCCAAAAAGCAAACAAAAAAGAAATCTCAAAATTTCTAGGTAGCTATGGCTGGAATTCCAATTAATATTAAAAAAAACAAAATAGATTTTTCTTTTTTTTTTGTCTGCAAGAAAATGAGCTGTTTTCTCTTTTCTCTCAACTAGGTAATGCACCAGGTTCTGCCCTCCATGCATGTCCTGTAGTGATTCCTTTCAGAGAAAAGGTTTCTGCTGATTTCACTGATTAATAATTGAGTTTTGCCTGTTTCTTGTTCCCACAATGTTTTGCAGGTTGCCCAGGTCTGTAAAAGACACGACACCATCGGGCAGGACCTGGTGGCTCTGTGTGTCAATGAGCTCCTGGCTCAGGGGGCTGAGCCCCTCTTCTTCCTCAGTCACTTGGCCTGTGGCAAACTCGATGCTGAAGTGATGGAAACAATCAAAGAAGGAATAGCTGAGGCTTGCAGGAGTGCAGGATGTGCTTTCCTGGGTATGGACCCTCCTGTCCTCTGAGATTTGAAGGGTCTGAGGTTGAATTTATCACCAGAGAAATAGACCTGGGAGGTGGAGGCACAATGTGGCCCTGGAATTGTTGGTTTCTTTTTGGTGGAAAAACAGTTGGGAATTTGTGCTTCTATTCTTCCTTGTCTGTAACCTGGGTCAGCACAGACAGATGGGGTTTAGTATTTGTGCACTTGGATCCTTTTTCTTCCTTCTTTATCCCTGAACAAAGGAGAACAGGACTGGAAGCCTCACATTCTTCAATGTTAAAATTTTCATGCCCTCTCCTATACTCAGGGAGGTGCCACGTGAGTACCAGAAATAATAATGACAAAAAAAACCTCCTTTCATGCAGCTTTGTTTTCTTGGACACTTGAGGTGAAGTAACAAACCAAGAAGGATTTAAAATATGTATCTGAATGTTCTTAGGCTGTGTGTCGCTGGACGTGCTGCTGACTTTAGGAAATACCATCAATTTTAAATGGTGTTACAATAATGGCTTTGAGCTGAGGGAGGGGAGGGTTAGGTGGGATCTTGGGCAGGAATTGTTCCCTGGCAGGGTGGGCAGGGGCTGGGATGGAATTGCCAGAGCAGCTGGGGCTGCCCCTGGATCCCTGGCAGTGCCCAAGGCCAGGCTGGACATTGGGAGCTCCTGGGACAGTGGGAGGTGGCCCTGCCATGGCTGGGGGGCTCTGGAGGGCCTCTGGGGTCCCTCCAGCCCAACCCCTCTGGGATTCTGAGAGTCTGAAAGGAGCAGAAGCAGGAGGTGCTGACCCCTCTGTTCCCTGGCAGGTGAGGAGGTGACGGAGGAGGCTCCGTGTCCCTCTGGGCCCTGGGCCCTGGCCGGGTTCGTGGTGGGAGCAGCAGAGCGGGGCCAGAGGCTGCCGGGGCTGCAGCGAGCCGAGGAGGGGGACGTGCTCCTGGGGCTGGGCTCTCCCGGCATCCACGGCCGCGGCTTCGGCGTCGTGAGGAGGATCCTCCTGACGTCCTCCCTGCGCTGCTCCTCCCCAGCCCCGGGCAGCTGCGGGCACGGCACTCTGGGTGTGCCATCCTTCTTCCCATCTGGGGTCACCAGGCTTTGGGGTCGGGTTGATGCCACTGCTCTGCCTCCTTCCCGAGGCCTTCTATGAGAACTGGGAGAGAACCTTGGGAAGCATTCCCAAAAACACCCCACGCCCTTTGAAACAAATTCACTGAATTCAGAATGGAGAATTGAAGGCTCTGGGACACCTCAGAGCCCCTTGCAGGGCCTGAAGGAGCCCCAGGAAAGCTGGAGAGAGACAATTGCCAAGGGCTGCAGGGCCAGGAGCCAGGGAATGGCTGCCAGTGGCAGAGGGCAGGGCTGGATCTTGGGATCTTGGGCAGGAATTGTTCCCTGGCAGGGTGGGCAGGGGCTGGGATGGAATTGCCAGAGCAGCTGGGGCTGCCCCTGGATCCCTGGCAGTGCCCAAGGCCAGGCTGGACATTGGGAGCTCCTGGGACAGTGGGAGGTGTCCCTGCCACGGCAGGGCTGGGAATGGGTGGGATTTGGGGTCCCTCCAGCCCAACCCTTTTGTGATGTTTTGATTCTAAGCCCCTCCTGAGGTTTTAAACAGAAGGACTGAGTGATGCCATTGTTTGCAGGAGATGTTTTGCTGACCCCAGGGAAAATGTTCAGCCCAGCTCTGCTGCCTGTCCTTCGCTCGGGGCACGTGAAGGGCTGTGCCCCCACGGCTGAGGGGCTCCTGGGGGGCATCTCCAGGCTCCTGCCCGAGCACCTCAGCGCTGTCCTGGGTAAGTGTGGGACAAAACTCAGGCACAGCACAGCCTTGAGCTCCCAGCTTCAGTGTGGAATCCTCAGAAATGGCCCTGCAGAGGGGAACAGCCCCAGGCAGGTGCTTCTCAAGGGGCTGCCAAAACTTCTCCTCTTCCAAGTCATGAGCCCCACAAAGGAAATCCCAGAGGAGATTAAGGGCAGCACAGCTGTAGGACAAAAAAAGGTGTTGGAGAAGATTGTGTGTTCCTCAGGACACCTCTCCAAACAAAACATTTTGACCAAATACTGAGGTTTGGTGGGAGAATAAATTTGCACGATTTGCTACACACACACACACATTTAATGCATTTTTTTGGTTGCTTCCCCACAACACGTGACATCTGTGAGTAGGGCAGAACTTTTTCTGATGAAGCCAAAATTGGGCAAAGAATTCAGAAGTTTGAAATAGTAAAGAAACCATGTTCATGTGAGTGTAAAAATACAGTGGGAATGGGGAGAGGGAAAGAAAGGTGTCTGTGTGTTGGGTTGTATTTCTCTGGAATGAAATTGGAAAGGAAAGAAAGAAATTTCCAAGGCCAGGTTGGACACTGGGGCTTGGAGCACCCTGGGATAGTGGAAGGTGTCCCTGCCATGGCAGAGGATGGATTGAAATGGGCTTTAAGGTCCCCTCAGGGTGGACAGCAGCAGGAATTTGCCCATGGAAAGGGAGCTCAGGCCTTGGCAGGGGCTGCCCAGGGAGCTTTGCAGTGCCCATCCCTGGAGGTGCCCAAGGAAGGGCTGGACGTGGCACTCAGGGCTCTGGGCTGGGGACAAGGTGGGCATCGGGCACAGCTGGGACTCCCTGGGCTGGGAGGGCTTTTCCAGCCTCAGGAATTCTGGGATTCTGTGGCAGTAAAAAGTGGTCTCTTGTGACACATCACTGTCATTGCAGATAGTAAATAGTAAATAATAAATATTAACAAACATTTGCGCTGCCCACACACCAATTTCAATCTTTTCCAGATGCTCTCAGCTGGAAGATCCCTGAAATCTTTTGCTGGCTCTACAAGGAGGGGAACCTCTCTGCAGAGGAGATGGCTCAGAGCTTTCCCTGTGGCATCGGGGCCGTCCTGGTTGTGCAGAAGGAGCTGGCCCAGCATGTTCTCCAGGACATCCAGAGGCAGCAGGAGGCTTGGCTGATTGGGAAGGTGGTTGCCCCTTGTCACACAGGTGAGCAAGTGTCTTCGTGGGACTGAAGAGACTCCCTGTTCCAAAGTCTGTGTAGTTCACACCACTTTCCTGTTGTTTCACTAGGCTGGAGGCTTCTGGACACCCCCACATCTACATTTCGGTATTAAATAAATGAGAAATGAGTTCTTGTTTCAGAGTGGCAGCACCTGGATAACCTCTTCCCCTCCCCGAGGCTTCAGGGAATCCCTGTGCTGATTGTTCAAAAATCTGTGGATATTTCACCACACTCATGGCGATCAACTCCCCTCCTGTCCACCCCTCCCCAGCTCACACAGATCCCTGTAAAGGTTGAGGCCAAGCCACAGCGTTGTACAGCCGTGTGTGGTGATGGTCAGTCTGAATCCTGGTGTGTCACTGACTGACATCCAGCAGGACATGAACCAAAATCCCCCAACAGTTTGGGCAGCCAAAATGTCACCTCAGCTCCATCAGCACCGTGTTTGGTGTCCTTCTGCAACATGAGAGGTGTAAAAAATGGGACAAATCCTTGAGAAGGCCATGCCTGGGCCTTTGTGAGCAACTCTGTGAGCAGGTGACACCAGAGACCAGCACAGCTCCTGGGATCTGGGCTGTTCAAGCTCTGAATCCCTTTGGAGCTCAGTCTCTGCCAGCATAAACTCATTGCTCATACAATTTCTTGACATTGAAACATTACAAATAAACTACAAATAAACTACACCTAAATACAAATAAAAGTCAGTTTAGAAGAAAAGGTAAACTCTAACACTTTCCTCGTGTGTTTGGGGCAGGTTCTCGCATTGCAGTGGAGAATCTTGCAGAGGCCCTGCAGCTGAGCAGCCCCCAGCAGCTGCTGAAGGACAGCACTGCTGAGATCCAGCCCAGAAAGAGAAAGGTGAAGGTGGCTGTTCTTGTCTCTGGAGCAGGTGAGCTGTCACTTGTCCTGGCACAGAGAATGTCCTTACACAAGAAAGGCTGGTTCAGCCGTGCCCACCTGGCCTTTCTTTCAGTGGAAACTCCAGACCCTTCAAACTCCAGGGTTTCACTTTGACTACAAGTCAAGGAGTTGTGTTGCCCTGCTTAAAACCTGAGTTTTATCGGTGCCCCCGCCCTCAGTGCTGTTTGTGGACAGGCAGATCTTTGTCTGAGCAGCCCCTGCCAGGGCCCTGGGTGCTGACATGTCCCCCCACCCTCTGCTCTCTCCCCGCTGGAGGCACGGCGCTGTCTGCGCTCATCGGCTCTGCCCGCGAGCCGGGCAGCTGTGCCCAGCTGGTGCTGGTCATCTCCAACAGACCCGGCGTGGAGGAGCTGCGGAGCGCGGCCCGCGCTGGCATTCCCACCAGGGTAAGGATTCCTTCCCTGCTCCCCTTTATTCCCAGCTGCTGAGCCTGTGGGTGGGCAGGAAATGCTTGCTGAGCCATCGAGGTTTCACTCTGGTGTGAAGCTTTCCCCATGGATCAGTGGCTGGAGCACAGAGCTGGGAGTCCTCACTGGGCTCTGCAAGCTTTGCCCAGCTGGCAGTGAGTGCTCCATCCCAGGGAAGGGATTTAAATGGATGATTTGGGTCTGGGATTGCAGCCCATGAGCCTCAAGCTTTGGCTGAAATCATTCAAACTTCAGGTTCTGCAGAGCATGGAAAGGTGTTGTCTCCTGGGCTGATCCCTCCTTAAAATCACAGAATCCCAGACTGGCTTGGCTCGGGAAGGACCTCAAATCCCACCCATTCCCAGCCCTGCCATGGCAGGGACACCTCCCACTGTCCCAGGAGCTCCCAATGTCCAGCCTGGCCTTGGGCACTGCCAGGGATCCAGGGGCAGCCCCAGCTGCTCTGGCAATTCCATCCCAGCCCCTGCCCACCCTGCCAGGGAACAATTCCTGCCCAAGATCCCAAGATCCAGCCCTGCCCTCTGCCACTGGCAGCCATTCCCTGGCTCCTGGCCCTGCAGCCCTTGGCCCCAGTCCCTCTCCAGCTCTCCTGGAGCCCCTTCAGGCCCTGCAACGGGCTCTGAGCTCTCCCTGGAGCTTCTCTCCAGGATAAAAACCTGTGTCTCACATTGTGCCCAGTCCCTTTCAGTGGCACCATACAAGTTTTCTCCTGCCTGTGGGCCACAAAGCAGCCCTTTGGGACAGGAATTTGTTCTGGTCTGTTCCACAAAAACCCCTGGCAAGGACCATCAGCATTGTCTGAGAACATTCCATGACCTGGGATGTCAAACGCAGGAACTCCCCCTTCTGACATCAAGTGGGTTTGAGCAGTTGTTTTTACAGCTGTGCACAGATAGAAATAAACTCTGCTAGAGGCTGTCCCTGCATGGAAGGGGTTCAGCAGTTCCTTCAGCTCCTGAGTTGGATTCATGTGACACTTTTCTGACTCATCTCTAAAGAAAAAATGATATCAAAATTCACTTACATTTTCACAGGCAAGAGCAAAAAGGTTTTTTTTTGTGAGCCACTTATTTGAAGGTCAGGAGAGTCAGGGATCAGCACTCACCTGGGGGGCTGAATATGGGAAGTGGGGTAGAAATAAAGGATCTCCTCCTCCCCTTTCCCAGAGGGTCTGGCCAATTGACTCCACCACCTCCCTGGGCAACTCATTCCAGTGCCTGACCACTCTTAAAAGGGAAAAAAATTGTTTCTAATCTCCAATCTGAACCTCTCCTGGTGCAATTTAGGGCCATTTCCTCTCACCCTTTAATTTGGGACATGGCAGAAAAGACTGACCCCACCTCACTGCACCCTCTCAAATCATGGAGTACCCTGCTTGTAATCCAGTTTGTTCCTCTGTTGCCCAAGCAGCTGCTCTCAATCCCTCTGAGCTGTTTCCTTGATGAGGCTTTTGTTGTGTTTCACTACCCCAGGTGATCGATCACAAATTGTACGGGAGTCGCTCGGAATTCGACAGCACCATTGACCGAGTCCTGGAGGAATTCTCTGTGGAGCTGATCTGTCTGTCAGGATTCATGAGAGTTCTGTCCAGCCCTTTTCTCCGGAAATGGAAAGGCAAGAAATTAAATGTAAAAGAGAAACTAAAGCAGGGGTGGTTGGTCTCACCAGGATTCCACTGTCAGAGTTCCTCGTCCTTTGTTTAAATCCCTGAGCCCTGCTGGCACTGCTGGAATTCCAGCAGGTGCTGCCCTGTGCTTCCCTCTGGCACTGGGGCTGTGTTGGGATTCTGTTTCCATTCCCTCTGGCACTGGGGCTGTGTTGAGATTCTGGCTGAGGATTGCCAGAGGAACCCCTCGTGCTGCCGCAGCAATGGGGGTGTGGGGTGGGTCTTTGCCTTCCCAAGGAAGGAGTTTGATCCCATCCTTTGCCAGGGAATTGTGCTGAACTCAGCCCCTGCAGAGAAAAAGGGGAGAAAGATGGATTTCTCAATTCCCAGGAGGGACTTCTCCCTCCCGTGGTGCCCTGCATCCCTGACACAGCTCTGTGTGTGCCCCAGGTGAGGGAGGGGTGAGCAGTGGGTTAATAAAGGGGGAGCAGTGACTTAGTGCCAGCTCCTGAGCTCAGGAGTTACTCACTGGTAACCTGGACAGGCTCCTTTGGGAATGTTCCTGCACCCGTGCTCCTGGAAGAGCAGAATTCCCTCAGATCAGAGCAGCGCTGCTCACGCTTTGGACTGCTGATCATACATCGTTTTATTTTTAAGGAAATTCAGTTCAAATTATTTTTTTTTTTTTTTTCCTTCTCTCACACACAGGGAAAATTTTGAATGCTTCTCCATCACTTTTTCCACTCGTCAAGGATGGAAATGCCCATCAGGAGCCCCTGGAAAGTGGATTAAAAGTTGCAGGCTGCACTGTGCATTTCGTCCTGGTGAGTGGCCTCAGAACTGGGAAGTTAGGAAAATTTGGAAGTTAGGAATTTGCTTTTTTCTTTTCTTTCTGGGGGCAGAAACAGGCAGAGGTAACAGGAATGTGTGGGAACCTTGGGATTGTTACCAGTAAAAACCAGAACGATTTGGGGTTGCTTGAAGTCCTGTCTTCTTCCCTTACAATTTGGGGTGGGGCTTTTCCATTTCTCCTCCTCCCAGAGTGTGCCAGTGATGCCTGAGAGGCTCCTGGAGCAAAGTTAAAGGAATAAAGTCAGGATTTATTAAAAGGCCTTCCAAGGATGCACCTTGGGCAGTGCAAGAGCCCGGCTGTGGCTACAGCCAAGATGGGCCCGGGTCAGGAGTTTCACACTTTGATAAGTTCTGGTCCATTTCCACATTGGGTTCATTGTGCAATTCCAGTCTCAGGTGATGCAGCCCCATCCTCCCAGATTCTCTCCTCAATTCCCTGCTGGCTGCAGTTTTTGGGCCCGGAGCTGCAGCGGTGCCCTTGGTTGTGGGGCTGGGAAAGGATTGTTGTGTGTGCCTGGGCTGTGAGGAGAACTGGCTGACACTTCGTGTGGAGTTCAGCCACACTCTAAGGCAGTGCCGAACCTGGAAATATGAAAGCCGAGTTCTCTCCCGCTGCAGCCCTACGGCGCCAGGGCTGCCCCTCACGGCACCGGGGCTGCCCTTCACGGCACCGGGGCTGCCCCTCACGGCGCCGGGGCTGCCCCTCACGGCACCGGGGCTGCCCCTCACGGCGCCGGGGCTGCCCCTCACGGCACCGGAGCTGCCCCTCACGGTGACAGGGCTGCCCTTCACGGCACCGGGGCTGCCCCTCACGGCACCGGGGCTGCCCCTCACGGTGACAGGGCTGCCCCTCACGGCACCGGAGCTGCCCCTCACTGTGACAGGGCTGCCCCTCACGGCACCGGAGCTGCCCCTCACAGCACCGGGGCTGCCCCTCCCGCACAGCCCGAGCCCTGCGCTTCACCTCAGCCCTTCCCCAGCCTCTCGAGCGCTCTGCCCCGCAGGAGGAGCCGAGTGCCGGGGCCGCGATCCGCCGGGAGCCGCTGCCGGCGGAGGCGGGGGCCGCGCTGCGAGAGCGGCTGCGGGAGGCCGAGCTCCGGGCCTTCCCCCCGGCCCTGCAGCTCGTGGCCAGCGGCGCCGCCTGGCTGGGAGCCCATGGAAGAACCTGCTGGAGGCGGGGGAGCCACAGGCTGAGCCCTGAGGAGGAGCAGCAGGGACACGGAGCGTCCTCTCCCGCCGCTGCGGAGCCTCAGGAACAGCGGGGGCTGTGGGCAGATCCTTGAAGGGGCTCTGCTCGTTTTCCCTCCCCTTCCCTTCTCCGTCTGCTTCTCTTGGGTGTCTCGGTATCCCAAGTTTTCGTTCCCTGCCTCTTCCCTGAGCTCACAGCTTTCATTGCACCCCCTTGGAAAATCCATGGTGGGAGCCAGGTTGGCTTTTCAGCTTTGGAATTGCTTTGTTCTGTTTTTAAACCTGTAAAGGAGAAAATGTGCTACATGGATGGGGCTGTAAAACTGATCTGATGCTTCCAAGGGGAATTCATCCTTCCAAGGGATCCATTTCTGTGGCAGAGCAGTGGGAGTTTCCCAAAGAAACCCCAAACATAACCTGCTGCTGCAAGACTGGGACAACAAAGTCATGGAGCAGCTGGAGCCTGTCCAGAGGTGCCACAGAGCTGCTCCAGGGCTGGAGCCCTCGAGCCAGGCTGGGAGAGCTGGGGGTGCTCAGCTGGGCAGGAGAAGCTCCAGGGAGAGCTCAGAGCCCCTTGCAGGGCCTGAAGGGGCTCCAGGAGAGCTGGAGAGGGACTGGGGCCAAGGGCTGCAGGGCCAGGAGCCAGGGAATGGCTTCAGAGTAGGATTTGATGGGATCTTGGGCAGGAATTGTTCCCTGGCAGGGTGGGCAGGGGCTGGGATGGAATTGCCAGAGCAGCTGGGGCTGCCCCTGGATCCCTGGCAGTGCCCAAGGCCAGGCTGGACATTGGGAGCTCCTGGGACAGTGGGAGGTGTCCCTGCCATGGCAGGGCTGGGAATGGGTGGGCTTTGAGGTCCCTCCCAGCCCAAACCTTGTGTAACCCTGTGAAATCCCCTTTCACATCAGCCTCACATGGCAAAATATCAGAGTCTGGATCAAGGTGCCTGTGATGGAGATGGGTATTTAGAACAGATGCTGGCTTCTCTGGCAGTAATCCAACTGCTCTCATCAATAATTTGATATTGATTCCCTGCACAGGCAGTGATTTCACCCCTCCAAGTCTTTATTTCCTCTGCTTTCCCTGGCTGGAGCTGTGTGGCCTCCCCACTGACCCACGGCCCCCATACCAACCCCTTCCCTCCTCCCCCCTCCAGCCTTGGGAGTTCAATTCCAAGGAAATATTTGTAGATTGAATAATTTTTTTTTTAACTTTATTAGGCTTTATTTCAAATCCCAAAGGAGGTTATGCCAACATGGGAGTACCATCAGGATATCAGAGCCCAGAATAAAATCAGCTTTCTCTATGTTAAAGGGGAGTTCTAAACCACCTCATCTGCTTTGTGTGTGGGAAACCTGATCTTTTCAGTAAGAACATTAAAATGGTTTCATAACTATATTAAAATATTAAAAGAAAACCCCAAGTGTTGAGCTGCACAAAAACCCCAATTGTTTTCCAAATGTTCATAATTCCTGGATGTCCCTCAGTGTTATTCCAGGTGAAAACACTGGTCCAAGAATAAAGGCACTTCACAATTCCTAAGGAATGTTTCACAAGCCAAGGTCATGTTTTGTGTCAGGTCCTTCTGCTCATGTAGAAAAATAAAAACCCAAAGCTGAGGGGAATTCATGGGAATTCACATGAGAATGCTGAGGAAAAAAGGAGCAGCAGACACTGAATCCTGCTGACATCTGACAGACAGCAGGTTCAGGTTTGGAAATGACAGGGTGTGTCAAGGGCCTGGGCTGGACAAGATCCACCACCATCAAACCAGGAAGCAAATGAAGAAAAATCTAATAGCTGGTGTTTTGGGAGGCCAGTTTTTCCTGGTTTGATGAGGTTTTTAGAGTGGAGGTTTCTGCTTTCGTCTCTCTTCCACTGTAGTTTCCCTCAGCTACACCTCCCAGCACAAGGAGGGTTCCCCGTTAGGGAACAGCCCTGACAGCCCCGAGCCCACTCCAGGGCCACTCAGATCCACCTGGCTGCGTTTGGGTTGTTAGGAAAGCGATTGAGAACCAAAAATGTTGAACCAAAGAAGTGATTAAAACTAGGAAGCCCCTACAGGAGCCATTGATGCACCCTCTGGGAACGGCCCCGAGATTCCCACTGGCGGCATTCCTGGGATTTGAATCCCCGACCCTGTGAGGAAGGTGAAGGGCGCAGCCAAGGCCACCCTGGATCTACTTCCAGCAGATCTTGCCCGCCTCGCCCACGCGCACGGCGCCGCTGGCCACGAGCTGCAGGGCGGCGGGGAAGGCCCTGTGTTCGGCCTCCTTCACCCGCTCGGCCAGCGTCGCCTCCGTGTCCCCCGGCTTCACCGGCACCGCCTCCTGGAAAATGATGGCTCCGGCATCCACCTCCTCCTGCAACAGCAACGCTGCAGGTTGGGGCTGGCATTTGGGATTTGGGCTGGGGCCTGGGAAGGGTTCAGAGGGAAAAGGAGGGAGGCAGAACACCAGGCAGCAACGAGGCTATTCCAGAAAACTCCATCAGCCAGGGACAGGAGGAGCTGGGCTGGGCGGGACATTGAGTCCAGAGGGGGAATGAGCCTGCATGGAGCTGGGACAGGGATCCAGATCTTCCCTGGAACAGTGCTGGGGCACGTCCCTGCTTGTCTCTCAGGAGCTGCCACACAGAGGAACCCCAAGTCATGGCACAGAGAGAAGAATGTAATTCTCCCTTCTATATGGAGAAATGATTCCACTCTTTTTCCAATAGAAAGCAAAATTCCTGAGACAGATTTCAGCAGCAGAGGGAGAAGGGAGTCAGAGAAGAGACCTTTAAACCCTGAGAAGTGGCCAAAGGAGAACAAATGATCCCTGGCCTGAAAAACATGACTCTGAAGCTGAGAGATCTCTGCCCTTTCTTTACTTAGGGTCTGAGCAGTATAAATTGTCAAGGGTTGATTCTGTTCCCACAAACACCAGATCACTCCTTAACAAATCCTTTGTCATTTCCACTGGGGTCTATTTCTCCTCGTTTGTTTCTATTTTTTCTTTTTCTTGAAAGCAAGAAACAAGGCAGGTTGTAGGATAAAATCCAGGAAGTTTGGGCCATGTTTAACAGAGCCTTTGGCTTAGCCAAGGCCTTACATTAACTATTCCCCCACTCCAGTGGGTGCAAGACAGCAGTGGGATGCTTAGGGGAAAAGTTTCCTTAGGGAAAACAAACTCCTGGACAGATTATTCATTTTCATTCCTTCTCCAGAGTCAGCAAACACTGTATGGTCCCAATAAAATCTCCATACAGTTCTTCACACAGAGGGCAAGTGATCAAACACGAGGGTTTAGGGAGCTCCCAGCAGGTGAAAATGCTCCAACTGAAGGATTACAGCGAGCCAGGGAGGTGCAAATGTTGGAAGGGGAGGATTGCAGGGGTGCAGGGGGTACTCACAGCCACGAAGTGCACGGTGCAGCCTGTCACCCTGACCCCGGCCTGCAGCACCAGCCTGTGCGCGTGCGCTCCCTTGAAGGACGGCAGCAGGGACGGGTGGATGTTCAGGATTTTCCCTGGGAAGGCAGAGCTGAGGTTATTGCCTGTTAGCACTGTTCAAAGGGCAATAACCAACAGAGGAACAAAATCATTTGTGAGCACAGTTTTTCACAAGTTTTGAAGACGCTGGCAGCCAGCCAGCCCCAAGCGCTGCGGTGTCTGTGTCGGGAATCCCAGAGTGCAGTTACAATGAATGGCTAAACACATTTCTACAGGGATTAATAATGACTAATTGGCTGATGGAGCTGTCCCTTCCCTCAGCACCTTGTCCTTCTTCGATCACTAAATCCCAGGTGCTGGAAAAGCCCTCCCAGCCCAGGGAGTCCCAGCTGTGCCCGATGCCCACCTTGTCCCCAGCCCAGAGCCCTGAGTGCCACGTCCAGCCCTTCCTTGGGCACCTCCAGGGATGGGCACTGCAAAGCTCCCTGGGCAGCCCCTGCCAAGGCCTGAGCTCCCTTTCCATGGGCAAATTCCTGCTGCTGTCCACCCTGAGCCTCCCCTGGCCCAGCCTGAGGCCGTTCCCTCTCCTCCTGTCCCTGTTCCCTGGCAGCACAGCCCGACCCCCCCGGCTGTCCCCTCCTGCCAGGGACTTGTGCAGAGCCACAAGGGCCCCCTGAGCCTCCTTTGCTCCAGGGTTTCTATGACTATTATTTTATTAAATTCTTCCTGTTATTTCCATTCTATTCTCTGTTCCTGGCAGCCCCTCGGGGACCCCCTGTCCTCCCCTGCACGTGGAGAGCTGGGCAAGTTACAGGAGGCAAATGTCCCAGTTGATCTCCAGCAATGTCTCAGATACATTTTGCATCTCAGCAAAACCCTTTTGAAGCATCAGCATCTCCCTCTCTGCTGCTTGAGCCCAAAAGGTTTCAGGGACAGGGTGCTGGAAACACCACTCTGCTCTTCTCCTCCATTTCCCTTCACAATGGGACATGGGTTCCTGTTTGCTTGGGTTTGTTTGGTTCTGTTTTCACCCGTCCTTTGTAAACATTCATAATTAACTCTTGAACCTGCCATTTGTTAACAGTTATAATTCACACTTCAGGGCTGTTAAGCAAGAAGAGTTTCGTAACTCCCACTCAGTGTCCTTGTGACTGCGAGAGAAAGAAAAAGGAGCAGCTTTGTCCAAAGCAGCAGCAAGAATTGGTAATTCCTGGATAATTCTGGGGAGGTCAGTGGCCAGGCAGGGCCCCAGGGCAGGGTCCTGTAGCTGGCCCAGCTCCCTGAGCTGAGCTCAATGTCTGAGCTCACATCTCATGGTCCCAGTTCAGGTTTTCAAGTTCAGTCCAGTTCTGGACATTTAAAAACTGAGTTTAACCCTCCTGTCTGGAAAAAGTCTTTCCCTTTCTCTCACACCAGTCATGCAGGTAAAGCAAAGCCTGCACTGTGGAGGACAGTCAGTGCCCTGTCCCTAAATCAGAATTTGTACAAGATTCTGCACTAGAGGAAGTTCTTTTCTGTTCTCTGCAGAGACTTCTCTGCTCCAAACACATCCTTTGTAGTGAGAGATTCTGTCTCTTCCTGACAGCTGCCCACAGCACAGGCATTTCCATCTCTGGACCCTGAATGGAGTCAAACAAAACCAATTCACCAAACTGGCTTCCCCTGACAGCTTCAACACCACAGCAAGGTCAGGAGTGCCTGCTTTGCTCCACTGATTTTAAAGAGAGGTTTGAAAAGTAGTTCAGGTGTGAAGTGTCCCAGGCACACCCAGGAGAACACAGAAGTCACCAGGAGAGCAGTGAAAGCTGCAGGGCACAGGCTGTGTCTGCTCTGGGCAGGTCTGGGTAACCCTGGCCCCAAAGCAGAGCAAACAGCAGCTGCTCCGTGTGCTCAGGGCTCCCTGGAGACAAAAGTAACAACCAGGGCAGGGAGAGCAGGCCCTGAAGGTGTCACCAGCCTCTCAAAGAGTTGGAAAACTAAAAGATGAGCAAAGTGGAGACACTGTGAACGTTCTGGGCAAGCACAGCCTGGATCTGCCTGTGGAACACCCCACCCATGGACTCAGGCAGCTCCTGGGACTGGCCAGGGCTTGTTACCCAAAACTACAAAATGCTGCCCAGTTTGGTGATTTTGCAAGGATCCAGAGCAGTTCCTCTGTCAGGGAAAGGAATCATCAGGGGCTGGGTAAGACCTCTGCCCAGCCAACATCTGCCCTGCACCTCCCCTGTGCAGAGCCCCAAAGTCTTCACAGCCTTTTTGAAAACATTTTCTAAGCAATCAAAGACTACCAGCCCTGTGTTTGCCCTGGGCTTCCTTCAGCCTCTGCACAAGTGCACTGCCTTTCCCACTCAAGCTTTTCCTTACAAGATGAGAGGAGTCTCATTTCACAGAACCCTAGGGTGGCCTGGATCAGGAGGGGACCTTGAAGAACATCATGTTTAATCTGGTGCCCTCTCTCTTTTTCCTGGTGCCAACCTCTGAAATGCCTCTGTGCACATGCACAGCCCCCCCAGCTGTGCTCACCTTCCCATTTCTTGACAAAAGGACCCGAGAGGATGCGCATGAACCCAGCCAGGCAGATCAGCTCCACCGAGAAGTTCTCAAGGACTTTGTCCACGGCGCTGTCGAACTCCGTGCGGCTCTGGTACCTCGTGTGCTCAATCACCTGGGGCAGCCCAAAACACAAGCATATAGATGTGGTGGGAATTCCAGCAGGGACAGCAGCTCCTTAATGCCCAGCTGACAGGCAGAGTGGAGTCTGTGCTCCTCCTCACAGAGGGATCATTGAAACAAACAAGTTTGGCTTGAAAAGGCCACAGCTCTGAGTCCCAGCACTTGGACACCATGGAACACCCTACAAATGCAGGGCTTTGAGCCATCCTGAAGTCTTCCAAAGATTTCACCCATTTCGAGGCCTCTGGCAGTCATAAGCAGTTGAATCTTGGCAAAAACTACACCAGAAAAGCTTGGAAAAAAGGCTGATCACTAACTCCTAAACCAGCTCCTACTCCATAATCATGGAATCCCAGAATCCCAGAATGGTTTGGGTTGGGAAGGACCTCAAATCCCACCCAATCCCAGCCCTGCCATGGCAGGGACACCTCCCACTGTCCCAGGAGCTCCCAATGTCCAGCCTGGCCTTGGGCACTGCCAGGGATCCAGGGGCAGCCCCAGCTGCTCTGGCAATTCCATCCCAGCCCCTGCCCACCCTGCCAGGGAACAATTCCTGCCCAAGATCCCATCAAATCCTACTCTGAAGCCATTCCCTGGCTCCTGGCCCTGCAGCCCTTGGCCCCAGTCCCTCTCCAGCTCTCCTGGAGCCCCTTCAGGCCCTGCAAGGGGCTCTGAGCTCTCCCTTCACCAGGTGAGCATCCCCAGCTCTCCCAGCCTGAGTTAAGTGTTTTCCATCCAGGACAGATCCCATAATTTAAGCAGGAAGAAGGCAGCACTACCTCACTGAGAGCATCCAGTGTTAAACTGAAGCATCTGTTAATGGCCACCAGAGTCAGGGGGTGGTTTGGGAAAAGCCAGGGCTGATCAAGTGACAGCAGGAACTGGGAACAGGGCTCAGCCCAGCCCTGGGCTGAACCAGCCTCTGCCCCTGTGCCTGTTCCACCTCTCCCTCCACAGCTGAATCCCAGGACCAGCAGCTCTCTCCCACTTTTTTTTTCCCCTGATAAAAACCTTGGGGTTGGAACTGGATGGGCTTTAAGGTCCCTTCCCAGCCAAACCAGTCTGTGCCTGTGATTCTCTGTTCTTCCCTCGTGCCCTCTGTGTCCTCCTAAGGAGGAGCTGGAGCACCAGGACAGATCCCAGCACTATTAAAGGAGCAAAGCTTTCAGCCCAAATTTCCCTGTGTCTGTATTCAGCGCTGAAAAGTGACTGTAAAAGGTTTCCAGGTGACAACAGGATCGTTTCAGACCTGCAGTACAAAGGCAAGGCACACAAAATCCATTTGGAATGATTCCTGGAGAGCCTGAGGCAATATTCAGGGAGTCAGTGGAAGGTCCCACTGAGTGTGACCTCTCTGTCAATTCAAATGAACCTCCAGGTCATTTTAAAATTAAATTCAGATAAAATAGGTTGGTACTTCAGTGTCAATGCCCTACAGTCAAACAACTGACAAAGCTTAAACTGTAACTGAAAGTTTTGTGCTGGTTTAATGTAACAACTGTCCCCAAAGCATCAGGATTGCTAGCAGAGAAGGAGAAAAGGAAGAATTTTGCTGTCAGGTATTTTGCCCCCGGGCACAAATTCACAACAGACCAAGAAAGAAAAGCCAAGGCTCCCCATCAGCCCATGTGTTACCCCATAAAACTCATTAGCACCACCAGCTAATGGTGACTAATTATGAAAAGGAAATGCTCACCTTTGTAGGAATCCCAGCTCTCTCAGCTTTCCTCAGCCCCTCCACACCAGCTTTGTTGGAGATAACCAGAACTATCTGTGCATAGCTGGTGTCTTTCTTCGTGCTGTTGATGAGGGCTTCCAGGTTTGTGCCTGGGGGAGAGGAAAAATAACTCATGGATACTGAGAATAAATAGAGGGAACAGCTGGAAGAGGCTTTAAATAAGCAGCACTGTGGGGGAGACCAAACCAAACAGCTCTGATGAAACATTAATCCTTTTTTAATTGATCTTGCTGGGAGCTGATTCAGACAGCTGAGGGCCTTTCCTGGCAGCTGCACTTGGACACTGGAATTTATAGCACTGGATTGATGGTCTTAGTAATTGGGAATACTGGAAATAGTTGGAGTGCCTACATGACAAGAAGAAATTCTGATCTGTGTGTGAAATGATGCTGCTGCCCTTACAGGGCACCAGAGTGGGAGCCTGAATCTGGACACGTGCAGAGGTTTGGAGATAAACTCAACACAGATGCAGTTCACAGCTTGCAGCAGAGGTTAAAAGAGGTTTGTGGCTGCCATCAACCCAAGCACAAAACCTCTCCTGCCTGCTAGAAGCCTATCAGAGTGCCCATGGAGAACTGCAGGGATTTTAAATCCAAGCTGAAATTCCCTTCTCCACAGTCTGCTTTCCACTGCAGCAAAGAGCAGAACTCTCACCTGTTCCAGAGATGAGGACAGCGACCTTCACTTTGCCTGCCTGGATCTTGCCCTGGATGTGGCTGTGCACACACAGGGATCTGTTTGCTTGCAGGGCCCGATGGAGATTCAGGACTTTAACGTTGTCAGAGCCTGAGCAGGTAGAAGGAAAAACCAAAAAAACCAGCAAAATAAAGTGTCAGTAAAGGGAGAAACAGAGAGGGGAGAAAAGCACCCATGGAAGAGATGAATGAAGTGTCAGTTCAATACCCACACAAAAAAGTCAGGGAGGTGCCAGTGAAGAGCTTTTCACCTCATGAAGACTCACAAACAAGGGGATTTCTCTCTGCTTTTCCTTTCTGATTATTTCCCCCCCAGGAAAATCTAGCTGCAATAACCTTTTTGAAGGGAGACCACGTTGCCGACGAGCCAGGCTGTCTCGTGTCCCTGGATGTCCCTGAGGACCTGCTGGGCCATCTCCTTCTGGACCACCAGCACTGCCCCAAGCCCACAGTTGAAGGTCCGAGCCATCTCCTCCTCAGAGAGGTTCCCTTCCTTGTGGAGCCAGCAAAAGATTTCAGGGATCTTCCAGGTGAGAGCATCTGAAGAGAATTGAAAACACAGATCAAGAGTGGAAATTGCTACCAATGGACTACAATTATTGGGGTATTAAGAGACAAAATCTGTCACAAAAATCCCCCACTGCCCCAGTTCCAACCAAGTGAGGATGATTTACAGCAGCACAAAAATTCTCCAGGACAAGGCACTGGAAAGGAATTCCAAGGACATGAAATTTCTTTCTTGTCATATTCTCTTTTAAAATGGTTCTATCCCAATTTCTAGAGATTCATGGAATCTCAGAATGATTTGGGTTGGGAAGAGACCTCAGAACCCACCCATTCCCAGCCCTGCCATGGCAGGGACACCTCCCACTGTCCCAGGAGCTCCCAATGTCCAGCCTGGCCTTGGGCACTGCCAGGGATCCAGGGGCAGCCCCAGCTGCTCTGGCAATTCCATCCCAGCCCCTGCCCACCCTGCCAGGGAACAATTCCTGCCCAAGATCCCAAGATCCAGCCCTGCCCTCTGCCACTGGCAGCCATTCCCTGGCTCCTGGCCCTGCAGCCCTTGGCCCCAGTCCCTCTCCAGCTCTCCTGGAGCCCCTTCAGGCCCTGCAAGGGGCTCTGAGCTCTCCCTGGAGCTTCTCCTCTCCAGGCAGGAGAGCAGAGGTGCTCCCAGCCTGGCTCCAGAGCAGAGGTGCATATAAACATAAATATTTATCAGTGGACAAGGGGAAAATGATTTGTGTGCAGTTCTTGAGTTCAGAACTCACTATTAATGCCTTATTTTATGGTACAACCCTGTGAGCTCTCACAACCTGTGCCATCCATTTCCCTTTCCATGCCTCATCTTCCCCAGCAGTGAAAGCCCTTTCCAGCACACCTGAGGGGAGGGTACTGAGGATTAATGTAGTCAAACAGCAGGAGTTGTCCCTGAGCTCACAACCACCTCTGAATGCTAATTGAAGACTTCATGAGTACCATTTAATTAGCTGTAATTTTGTAGGGAATTACAAATGGTGACAGCTGACTTGGGATTGCTGGTAAGGTTGTTTTCTTTTTGCAAGTCTCCTAAGAAATCCAATCCCCAACACCACCAGGGGAGGGAATTCAATGGGGAGCAGTCTTTCCACCACAAAGAGTTTTGACTGGCTCTGGTTCAGGTACAAGTGAAAAAATCACACATTTCTAGACAAGTCCAACTCCTACAGCACAAATCAGCTGGTGTGGCCCCATGTCCACGGGCTTCCACAGCAATCCTCATTAACACGAGGATTTTTCCACAGCTTTCCTTCTCTCTCACCTAAAACGACACCACAGGACTCTGGGAGAACTCTGGGGATGTTTTCCAGCAGCCCCCCTCCAGTGATGTGGGCGTAGGCTTTGACGTGGCCGGAGCGCAGCACGGGCAGCAGAGTCTTGCTGTAGAGTTTGGTTGGGGTTAACAGGAGCTCTCCTGGGAGAGAAAAAAGGAATGCAGAGAAATGGGAATCAATAGAAAATCAGGGAAATCTCAAAATAGCAATCTGGATGGCAATGAGCATTGTACTAGAGAGAAACACAAAGTTCTGCCTTTTTTTTTTTTTTAAGCCCACAATGAATTATTTATCCCCCTCCTTTTGTTTCTTCCCTGCACACGTGACTCCCAGGAAAAGAAGATGAAAACATGCTAAAGATGGAATGATTGGGGTTTTTTTTTTTTGTTTTTTTGGTGCCTGAGAAAAGTGCCCAGAACCCAGACAAAACAACTGTGGCAGCTGTGGGGGAGCTCAGGAGGAAGCCGTACCCAGAGTCTGATCCCCGGAGATGCCGACGCGGGAGGAGAAATCCAGGGAGGACTTCTCCACAATCTTCCTCACGAGGCTGTAGCCATTGCTGTGGACCCCAGAAGATGCCACCCCAATGACCACATCCCCCTCAGTGATCCTGTCCAGCTGGGGCAGCATCTGCCCCCTCTCCACGGCCCCCACGGCGAAGCCGGCCAGGTCGTACTCGCCGGGGGGATACATCCCCGGCATCTCGGCCGTCTCTCCTCCTGGGGACCAAAAACACAGCAAAGAGGTGTTGAAAAAGCCTTGTTTTTAATCATAGAATCCCAGAATGGTTTGGGTTGGAAGGGATTTTAAAGCTCATCTCATTTCACCCTGGTAGAGACACCTCCCACTGTCCCTGCTGCTCCCAGCCCCAGTGTCCAGCCTGGCCTTGGGCACTGCCAGGGATCCAGGGACAGCCCCAGCTGCTCTGGGCAAAATCCTGCCTTTTTCTCTCCTCTTCCCACTTCTCATTCCCTGCCCTGTGCTCCAGCTTCACCTGCTTTTTTTTCAGTCCTGAGGTTTCAGCTGTATTTAGTAAGGGCTGGATCAAATGGAGGATGGAGAAGCCAAGAGACAAAGTGGGGAGAAGTGCTTGGCCATCCAACACTTAAATCCACAGTTAATTGTGCAAAACCAGGCAGGAGATGAGCCCTCATCCCCCTCACTATCAGTGGGGTGAGGAGTTAAATTTGTTGAGCTGAAGGTTCAGCTCTTGCAGAAAGGCCTGTGGAGTTGGAAATTCTTGAACTGGAAATAAAATCTTGACATTTTGGTGGTTTCATCACAAGGTCCCACCTAACATAGACCCTGCTGCAGCATGAATGGGGTGATTATATTTGATAAATACAGAGAACACCTTAAAACAAACAGAAAGCTGATCAACAGTTCATGCAGGAAAAAAAGTAAACCAGGGCATAAAGAGCCTCTTGTTCAGAGCTTAGAAACAGCCCCAAAACTACACCCACTGAGGAAGGGCTTCTGCTCCTAACTTCCCTAAAAAATTGGAAAAAAGGACAGAACCTTTTCCCAACATCCAACCTAAATCTGGACCTAAATCTAATCTAAACTTAAGCTAAATTTTTAAAGTACTGTCTCCTTCCACTGTGATTCAGATTTAAGTTCCCTGAAAGCAAAGACATGGCACACTTTGCTTTTTTACTCCTCCCAGATTCTTCAGCAGAGTAGGAAACCACCTACATTAAAAACCAACCAGAAGACCTTGCAGAAGATTTTTCAGATTCCCCCAAGAAGTGTTCCTACCCAAAAGAGCACAGCCAGCTTTCCTGCAAGCATCAGCAATTCCTGCAATGACGCCCTGAGCCACTTCCACGTCGAGTTTGCCGCAGGCAAAATAGTCCAGGAAGAAGAGTGGCTCTGCTCCCTGGGCCAGGATGTCATTGACACACATGGCCACCAGGTCCTGCCCGATGGTGTCGTGTTTCTGGCACTCCTGTGCAATCTGCAAGACACAGGGAGAAGCCTGGGATCAGCTCTGGGCCCCTGCAACACGAGCCAGGGTGTGGAAGGGACTGAAATCACGAGCGGAGGCTGCGAGCAATGGAGCAAAATCCCTCCGGGTGCTCTTTGAGGATGAAGTTTGTTTATTTTCATCTCCTCACTCTCTTCAGGAATTATTCTGTCCCCACTGGCAAACCCAAAAGGCACTGAGAAGGAAACTGTGCTGTAAAAGGGTTTCCTTGCAAACCTGGGATTAAATGTTTTTCCCCATCAATATTGAACCTGGCTTGGAATTACCTGAAACTTCGAGCAGAGACACAAGGCTAAATTTAAGGCAATGTTCAAACAAGCACTTACTAAATGTTTCATTCTGATTTTAATAAATGAAACACAGAATCATGAGATGGGTTTTGTGGATTAATTTAATCTGAGTATTATCTTTTTTGAAGGTGGAGATGCTTTCTTTGTGAAACAAGATTCCTGATTATATTCTTAATATTTAAAACCCAATTATTTTAGGCATCATATCAACTTCTGGCTATTTACAGGTATTTCATTCTTTTGCCTGAAGAAGGGCAATTTCAGTTTCCATCCCCTTTTTAGAAAGACCAACAGGTATTTTTACAAGACAGCTGCTATTTTCTGATAGAACATTTTCCCTTCTGTGCTGTTTTTCCATCTTTGGCGTGGATTTCCACCTTACCTTGAGCTTTGTGCCGACGCCGTCGGTGCCAGACACCAGGATGGGATCTCTGTAACCAGCTGCTCTCAGGTCAAAGAGCCCAGCAAACCCTCCGAGCTCTGCACTGCAGCCTGCCAGCCAGGAAACAGGAGAAACAGCCCAGCTTTACTTCCAGGGGCTTCTCCAGCATCTCCACCACAAATTCTCTCCAAGGTTTGTCAACATGACTTTGCTTTGTCACCAGGAAACTTTTCTCTGCCATTTAGAACCTCTTCACTGAGGAGCTCCTAATCTGCTTAGGTTGGCTTTGTCTTTTTAATTCGTCATTAGCCTAAGTCTAAAAATCCCCAGCTTGGTGACTGAGCAGTCAATAATTCCTGTGACTGACAGATTTCCCCCCTGCACTGAGTGTTTCTCTGAAAAACAGGAGGAATTGTGGTAAGACTGTTGTACTGGTGTGAGAATATCTGTATTTTTCCCTCTATGTATGGCTGACTTCATTAGAAGGTTCTCAGCTCATTTGAAATGAAATGCCTGTTTCATAAATGAATATTTTAGATCTGTCTGAAGAATTACAAGGATTTGCAAGAGCAAGATGTGCCTGAACCCCAAAACCAAGGATGAATTAATGCTGATTTAACCAAGCAAAAGATGTGTGTTCCACATTTCTCTCAGGAATTCTGCATCTCATAACCTTTTCTAAACATTCATCCCCCCATATGTCAGAGTTCATTGGACAAGAAATAATAATTCATGGAATCAAACCCAGTGCTGAATGGTGGGATTTTTGCTTGCATTTATCCCTGTACAGTGCTGAACTGTGCTCTCTGACACCCCTGGCATTCAGGAAATGGAGTTTAGAGCCATTTGGGGATTAAAAGCTGTGCATTTGGAACACAATCACAGGCATTTGCTTACCACAGATTTTCTTGTGTCATCTAGAAACAGGCAGCACACATATATATGAGCTTTTTATCAAGATCAACTGATAAACCTCCTTGCCAAGAAGTGACCAAAGCAGGAGCAGAAGGTTCTTGTCTTACCTGACCTTGACGTGGCTGCAGCAAAGGGCTTGATGTTCTGCACCAAAGTGTTCCCTGCTTCAATGTCCACCCCACTGTTCTTGTAAGTCAGGCCTCTGGAAGAGTGGGAAAAATGGGGTGGCAGCTGATTACTGAATGCATTTTCAAATAATATTTACTTCTTTACATCCCTGAGGAGATTAACTGTGCAGAATCACATCCTGCTGTCTGAGGAGGGGCTGCCAGGAGCAGTACATGGAGAATTCCAGAGTTCTGAAGATGATATCAGAGCATTGGGATCATACAGTCAAATCCCAAAATAAAACCAACAACCAAACCCCTGAGTAAAAACCCTAAAGTTAAAAAAGGTAAAATCATAGACCTGATTTTTCAAGGTTTGAATCCCTGCTCCAGACACAGAATCCCTGGTGCTGGAAAAGCCCTCCCAGCCCGTGGAGTCCCAGCTGTGCCCGATGCCCACCTTGTCCCCAGCCCAGAGCCCTGAGTGCCACGTCCAGGCCTTGAGGTATCAGTGGGAAAGCTCCAAACCAAACCCAAACTAAACCAGGCACAAAAATGCAGGCTGGACCAGAGCAGGGCTAAGCTCAAGTCACTTTTCCACCCACAAGTCTCAGGTGAATCAATAACCCCAGGATACCCCCAGAGTTTTACAGCTGTAGCTTAAAGGCTGCCTCTCCTTCTCACTGGAATGATCCCACCACAGAAGCTGCCACACCTCTTTCTTACTTCAGAGGGCTTTCTATTAAAGAATATATTTTATATTTCCTTAGAAAGACCCAGGTTCCTAAGGTGGGGCTCAGGAATCTGGAAGGAGATGTCTGTAAGCTCTGGGTGGGGTTTATGTAAGATCAACCCACTGGTACAAACTGGTGTCACCTGTGTGTCCCCACAGCTCCCTGGGGACACGAAGCACCAGCTCATATTTACAGAAGGACCTTTCCATTTTGGGGACAGGGACTTTAATGACTTTTCACTCCAGCAAACACAGCTCGTGCCACTTAAGCAGTTGTTATTCCCAGGCTGTCAATGGCATGAACCAGGTGCATCCCTATTTTAGATCCATCCCTGTTTTCTCTCTCCTATTGATGGGATTCAGCCTGAAGTTTAAATTCTAAGGGTGTTGATTAACAAGGATAAATACAACAAACCAACTGAAACCCATTTTAAATTGATTCAGCTGAAAAAAAAAATAAATTCAGTTAATCCACAAAACCCATCTCAGGAACCAGGTCAAGAATTCAACAAACACTGAAAAGTCAGAGACAGACAAATGCCTACAACTTCACTAAATGGAGTGAGTGTTTTTGTACTCTGCCTAATAAATCTTATTTAAGGATGTGGGGGTTTTTTTTTAGGATCAAAGGTATTTCTGTTGTGAAGATCACTGCTGAAATATCTGGAATTGATAAGACTTGAAATGCCAGAAGAACTGGCCCAGGAGCAGTGCTACCAGGAACATCCAAAGGTGTCTGCACTCACAGCACCTCCCTGCCCAAAAACTGGCAAGAAGACAAGAATTACCACAGGCAGCTGTTCAGGCTGTGAATAAGACTCAAGGAAATATTGGCCTGCAACAACCAGAGATCAAAGTCAGCCCCTTTCAGTCTGAATATGATAAATATCCACCAGATTTTCACCATGTTTTTAGGAGTATTTCAAATCTGTTACTTTTTTTTTTTTTTTTGTTTTTTGC